GCATGTATGTATAGGCCTATGTGTGTGTGTGTGTGTTTAGGCCTGTGTGGGTGCGCGTGTGTGTGTGTATGTATTTACAGTGGTCAATATATATTGATATTTATAACAATGATGAAATCTTGATGTGAAGACGATTTTTTGCTGAATAAAAGGGTTGTTCTGTCTATTATTGCATTGCCACACATCATTGTAATGTATTAGAATATGACAAAGTAAGATGATGATGATGATGATGATGATGACGACAACGATATGATAATGATGATCATATGAGCACACACGGATTGAAGATGGGGATTGTCTATTTCAGACAACTTCTACATTACCCGGTACCGACGCCTATCCACCAAGTACTTTCTTACATTTCTCTTAGTCTTCATCTTCATTTTTTCCATTGTAGACACCATACCTTGTATTAATGTGTCTGCCAAGAGGTTTTGAGTTGTACGAACAGTTTAAGATGCTTGCCTTCCAATCCCAAGGTCCTAAATTCAATTCCTGTCCGAATATTTTCTGACGACCAAAGACAAATCCACTCCCGAAGTTTCATGCTTAGACTTGATTTATAGAGCATTTTTGTGTGCATATTTGTTGTGATAAGTGCAGGGATCATATCCGTTTTCAAATTTAGAGGGGAGGGGTGAAAAAACCCTCCAAAAAGAAATGGGGGTCAGGGGTCTTCCCCCTGAAAAATGTAGGTTCCTAGATCGTCATTAAAATACTTCTGAGTTGTCTTTTAAGGACTTCAAAATTCAAGGTTTTCCCCTTTTGAAAACAGTTAGGTAAACTTTTTCATTCTTATTACAGTAAGAGGCCTAATATGTGTGTATACATACATAAACAAAGTGGACCCCCGAATCCCCACCCCAGATCCGTCAGTAAAGGGAATTAATGATCAGTGGTGGAGTCAGTGGGGGCGCTTCTTGGAAAATTATAAGTCTGGTCGATTTAGGACAAAATCATGGGCCAACGGGAATAAATTGTTAACACAGATATTTTGGTACCAATCAATGCACACGGAAGTTCTATAACAAGATGAAACTCCTCTTCATTCCTCCTTGGGGAAAAACGTTATAGCCGTTTTACAGAATCACCCCCCCCCCACCCCCGCCTCCATATTTTCAGAAACACTTAAAAAAGACCACGATCATAGAACTCTCTGTTCCCTTCGAACCTAACAAAGTACCCGCTCACACTAACAAACCTAAGAAACATAACCACTAATAAAAGACATGGACGATTCCAGATTTGATGCAAAAGTAATCGCTATTGAAGTTGGATCCAGAGGCTTCATATCAAATGAAAATATAAAGCGACTTAAGGGGGTCATTCAAATATTATGTAACGCAGAGGGGGGTGGGGTATAGTGGAAAATGTTACAGTGTGTGACATAGGGGTGGGGGATGTTGCTTGAAGTGTTACATAACAATATTAATTTTCATGGGAAGTGAAGAAATATTAAATATTCAAACTTGTATGATATTACTTTATTGAAACATATTACATCAGTGTAATCTAATGTAATGTAACACAGTTGTGTTGAATTTGTGAAATCAATAAACAATGAAGTTACATCTACCATATCAAAAAATAACAAAACATCCTACAAATTTGTAGTTTAGGACATTTATTCTGATACTTAATGTTGTTCATCTGATTTTATTAAAATTGTTGATGTTCGGAAGGGGGTGGGTGGTTCTAGAGTTACATAACATTTAGAGGGGGGTGTGGAAAAGTGTTACAGGGTGTTACGGGGGTGGGGGTGTCAATATTTGCCAAAAAAATGTGTTACATAATACTTGAATGACCCCTAAGGCCATACACAAATTGTGCTATGACCAATCCGAATTTTAGAATTGTGGGATAATATCTAAACTTCCAATTTTCTCCTTATTTCGCATTGACCTTTTTAAAACTATGTTGATTGTATTCAGAGAGCCCAAAATCATATGATTAGATCCAAATTCACCTTTTTCCTTAGAGGATATGTGGAATTATACTGAAATATAATTTTTTTGACCATTTTAAAGACGGCCATCTTTAGTTTCAATATGGCTGCCATTTTACGTTTTCGAAACCTGTCTCATTGGCTTCAATGACCCTAATAACATATAGTTAGACACCAGATTTGCCCTTTTTCATTGGATATAAGTGAAGTTATGAGTCAATATCCTAATTTTTAAAATGGCCGCCAGAAAAATATGTTCCGCCCTTTTTCTGGAGGTTCTCCCTCGCTCAATTTTCTTATTTATACCCTAGTGATGCTAAATTAGCAGAGAAACCTTGGTCCCAGAAAAATGGTCACGGGGCCCCTGATTTTCACTTTACTATGGTGCCAGTTTTATCAGCAGATTTCCTGGAATCTCAGTGAAACTATCAATACCTAGGCACAAAATATAGTCTAGAGCTAATATATTTCATTTTCCCACAATGAAACTTTAGGGGCATCATGTGGGCTAAGTGTCCTAACTGAGGTGTGAATTTTACAAAAATCGAGATATATACTTTTGTGATAGTTTGGGTCAAAGGTCAAGGTCACGTGACTTGATATGTGGAATTATACTGAAATATAAATTTTTTGACCATTTTAAAGACGGCCATCTTTAGTTTCAATATGGCTGCCATTTTACGTTTTCGAAACCTGTCTCATTGGCTTCAATGACCCTAATAACATATAGTTAGACACCAGATTTGCCCTTTTTCATTGGATATAAGTGAAGTTATGAGGTGTGAATTTTCCAAAAATCGAGATATATACTTTTTGATATTTTGGGTCAAAGGTTAAGGTCACGTGACTTGACCTATATAATTTAGCCAAATCTCATGAAAATTTCAAATTGCTCTAACTCATCAGAAAATGCTGGCGCGGAGTCAAAGATTTCACTGTGGGGTTATCTCAGGTAGAACTTCCAACATGCAAAATGTTGGGCGATTTGAAGGGGGTCGGGCAAAAAAGTGTGTTGGATTCATATGAAATGACTCAACAGAACTTTTGGATTTTGGATGTTGAACTTCAAATTATATTTTACTAAGTATGCAATAAACAATATAATTGATTGGTTGACATTGAATGTATCTTTCTAAGCGAACCGGTTGTTGGGCTATTTTATGATGTCATTGGTAATCAGTCCAGTCAACTATGGAAAAGCAAAGCATGAGAAATACAGTACTACGTATAACTAATATTCTACAAATAAAAATTACCAATATTTTACTTCTTTCAAAGTCAGTGATCTTGTTTGTCGTAGATTCTTTATTCATGAAGATTATTTTGGGTGTCTGGGTCACATAGGATGGCTAAAACAAATAGTTGCTTATAATATAAATCAAGATAGCCGTTAACACTGTCAAATTGTATATAAATCATCAAAGAAAGGTAAATACAGTGTTCGAATAAAGGTTCGAATAATGTTCGAATAAACACTGTATTGCGTATTTATTACAGACCAGATATATCAAAAACTGATCAACTGATATGAATAGAACTTTCGTGAAAGCTTAACCAAGGTACAAGGAAGAAATTATGAAGTGTTGGTGACGATCAAATTCGGCTGTGCGTTTGAGGGCCAAAAGGTCCCAGACCTAAATATCTTAAAAATTGATCAATAGATAAAAATGACAATTGGCAGGATAGTTTGTCATGTTTTAATAAAGAAGTGTGTCAATTTTGGTCACGGTCCGATGTAGGGTGTGGATATGAGGACCATTTAAAGAATACGTTCACCGTAATACTGTAGGAAAAAACAATATAGCTATATGATGAATATTTAAATTAGTGCAATTACAGTAAAGGTGTACAGCCTTTTTTTATGTACTAAATTCACTTTTTTCGGAACTTATTTGGAAAATTTTCAATTCATCTTTACATTTAAACATGTGACGCTAAAAACCGAATTCCCATTTATATTTCCAAAATATTTCCATTTGAACACCAATACATTGTATGTAATTTGTTTGTCAGCTATACGAGTAAAAGTTGCCAGTAGGTTAAGTCAGATCATGTCAGGAATTGGCAGGTTTACAACTAATACAATAAAAGGGGCTCAATAAATAAAGTATATTATATTTTTGTGTCAATTATGGACCATTCAAATCAAAACGTCGCAGATCAAATATATAAAAAATAAACTCATCTAAAGGAAATTTTCGTGTTAGTCTAATTTAGTTAAATAATACTATTTAATAAAGTATTGTAGTTGGTGGTTGAAAAAGTAGGAGGTTTTTTTTTATTTTATTTTATTTTTTTTAATAGAAAGAGACTGACGGTGGGCGTATAGCCAGTCTCTATTACTATTATCGTTCTCACAGTACAAACTACAATCTCATCAAATCAATGTATACATATAGAAAATATATAGTGTTAATGTAACAGTATTATTATGTTTATCATTTATTATTATTGAAATTATTATTATTAAATATTTCAGAGCTGTATTCTCAATATTTTAAAATTATATTTCGTCATTAAAATGAATTATTTTGTTAGTAATGTTATATAATAATATTATTTATTATTAATATTATTACCACTACTGATATTATTAAAGCATTATCATCATCCATCTCCTCATCTTATTCCTTGCCATCGTCAACACCCTCATCGAAAAAAAGACAAAAGAAATACAATGTACAATGTATGAAAACTGCTGTATTTCTTTTTTGAAAGTAAATATGCCCATTGATAAAGATTTTATTACAACCTTAACAACATACTAACCAGTCCAACGATGATATTCACATGAAGCACGGATGGCAGCTGTCTTAATGGCTGTCAAGTAAAATACATAAAGGTTCTTTAATCATCAGATCAATATATCATGTTAGAACAACACAACTTGTGTCATGCTATTCTTCTATGCCATCTACACATTTTGAAACTTGAAATTATTTCATTAGGTATTTATACAGTATACTCAAGAATGATGACGATGATGATGATGATGAACTTGAACCATAAATCCCAGACGGCCCTTGTATTTTATTGTAAGAATTATTAAAGAATGGCGTTTCTAATCATTATTGGTAAGTAAAGAATCGACAATTGTCTGAAGAAAGGAGATTTTACTCAAAGAAAAAACGCACTGTCATTTTTTTTTTATTGAAAATAAAAATAACAGAAATAAGAACATAAAAAAAATACTCAATTAAGTACCTGGCATACACTGGTCGGCAAACCGTGATATTCCGTCTATATATATATTGATTGCTTTTATAATTCCCTATCATTTCAAACAGAGATACACAGTTATTCAGCACTTTCGTGTCGACAGCGTAATCCTGTGATTAACGACTTGGTTACATTCAAACATTACTGATTGAAGTCAGGTAGGCCTCTTCTGCATTATGTTTAATGACGATGATGACAAAAATTATAATAATAAGGTGTAGTTTATTTTGTAAGGCAATCCATAGTTTTCATACCTTTAAATAATATAAGCAAGCACCTTCTCAACTTTGAGTTTGAATTTGTTACAAAATGCTGTTATATATCTTAATTGCTTGTATCATTTCTAACATCTTAGTTTGTAAGCCTGTTCCTTTGTGTTACAACATTATACGTTTTAATGCTTTCTCTCTCTCCCTCCCCACCCCCC